ATTTGCTTAACCACTCCATATTCACATGGCCAATCCATAAATTATGGTGATTCCACTTAATTTGGAGTTGGGGCTGTTTAGCCTGGAGAAGAGGAGGCTGGGGGGGGGACCTGTTATCAGATGAGAACGTGTTTGCTTTTAAGGTAGGGATCAATAGCACGCTTGCAGAAGATTTTTTTTTCTGTTATTTTGCGTGCCAAATCTGGTCTTAGAGAGTCTTGTGACTGAATCATTCTTGACAGCAGCTTTTGGTGGAAACTAAGTACTCCTCCAAGTAAAAAATTTTGAAAGTATGTTTTTTCTAGTTTTGCAGTGAAGTAAGTACAGAAAGTTTTCCAAAAGATTACCCTTTCTTACTGTACCTTAATTGATTTGCTTAACCACTCCATATTCACATGGCCGATCCATAAATTATGGTGATTCCACTTAATTTTTATTTGTCAAATTGTGTCAATACCTTCTATGAAATCTATGAAATCTATGAAATTGTGTCAATACCCAGCGTGTTTATCTGCTGAATTATCTGAAAGGTGTGTAGAACAGCTGTAGCTCAGCCACTCAGGTACTATTCAAGATTTTCTTTCTCTGAGACACTGTAAATAATGTTGGCTCACTAACAGAGGTGTGATTTGTATCACAAATACACTCTATACTGTACATTTTTGAACACTTTTTGTCTAGCAATACATGTTTCTTAACATCAGCAGTTATTATATTTGTTCCCCCCAGTTTCCTGTTAATATTTGGGATTATTTCTTTCAATATCATACAGCAACCTGTGAGATAAATCTTCCATTTATTAGTTGCAGCTCTTTTTAGTTTCTCGAGGTACTTTGCATGCTGCTGTATCAAGAGCGTACTTGGTTGCTTTTCTGTCAGCTGCTGTCAGGTTTCACAATTAAAATGTATCAAAGAATTAAACTTCAAACACTCACTGTGCTGATTACTGCTTTCAGCCCTCAGACATTTGGAAGTCTTTATTGACTTCAGTACTATAGGTGGCTTGCATAAAACCAAGTATAAGTCTAGGTCTGCATACGATAAGGACAGGTTAAAGAAACTGTTGTTGATTATCTATGATTTTGTAAATCAGGAACACATGGTCATAAAACCACTGATGAACTGTGCAAGTTGCTACTGTTCTCGATTTCATCCAATTTCCCGACTCAAGAAACAGGTAGGTGCTTCCAACTCTGAAAGCATTTCTGTTCCTTAAAATTGTGAATCATTAAATTTGGTCTAAGTGTTGTCTTCATGCTTTGATCGTCCTAAAAAGTTAAAATTTTACGTAATTTTTTAATGAGCTTTTTAGTTTTACCTTTCAGAATTTCCAGGAATTTACAGTTACTAAAATGAGATGTAATTAAGGATACTCCTGTTGGTGCAATTGATGCTGTGTTTGTGCTCTAGATCACTGAATAGCTTTATTCTTACCTGAATGTTTACTGTTCTCTAGTTTTCTTAATTTCCTTCTGCTTTCTTATGTCAGGAACACTCTGTTTGGTCAAGTATCTAGGAATCTTGGGTTAGGCTGTAACCCAAGATTTTTATTGTATGAAAGCCAGCTGATGCAAGATTCTGTCACTGTAGCAAAATCTGCTTTCAAGTGTCGTGGTAGTTCTCTGCCGATCAGTTTGTGAATTACTGAACGGCTTGAAGATGTTCCTCCATGAATTCGAGATTGCAGTAGACCTACTTAGTACTTTTCACTTTCGACAGCATTCAAACCATATGTTACAAAAGTAATGTTAGTTAATTTTTGATATAAAAAAAAAAAAAACGGAAGAAAGAATAGTAAATCAGTTTATTCAGATGATGCTTTAGCATGAAAGTGTGCATCAAGACTTTTTGCCCTAACATGAACAAACGTTACAATTGATGTCGGCTTACACAGTTATGACTACTAAACAAGTAACTTACTACCTGTTGCAGTTTTTTCTAAAAATAGCCACTAAGAAAAGCAAAATATGTTGTCTTGTGTGTCAAAGGCTACACTTCACATGACATTTTTCATGATATGTTTTTAAGGTGCTGGAATGTATGCAGAGCATTCACGTATGGCCAGAGCTGCCAACAGTGCCTGAGGAGCACATTCAAACGATTAAAGGGTATGTGTATGCTATTAGATTGTTCTCAAAATAGTTATGAAGAATGGGATTTAAGATGGTGGAAGGTCTCTTCAAATACTTTACTAGGAAGATGATAGACACCAGAGGGGTTGTGAGAAGATCCCTTTGTTATTTTCAGCTTAGTCTGTGCTATACACATCAGCACAGATACTATGAACAGTGCGCAACTTGAAGGGAATGAGAAGACATCTGAAACTTGTACAAAGGTGTTAGTGACTCCTGTTTCTGAAGAGACGCTGAAGGGGCTGCTAGGATGTTAAACTAGAGCTTGAATCCATCACAATAAAAACCAAAAGATGGGTCACCAGATGTAAAACAGAAAATAATTGCTTATTCTGTGAAGAACTTGGTAACCAAATCAGTGGAAGACTTTATATGAGATATTACTTAGAAAAAGAATGTAACATTCTCTTGTTATGTGAAAATGAAGAAGTCATTAATAATATCACTGGAGGAAATTGTACTTGTTTAGAGCTGACAGGTGAAAGTTCAGTGCATCTGGCACATACGCAATGTGCTGCAGGATTTTGGTGAATGAGTGGAAGATTTATAGGTTGAGAAGACTGCTGAGACTGAAGAAAGATTGGGTTTAGTTGGAGAAAGGAAACCATGCTCATAAGGTGGAGGGAATTGAATACACTGCTATCCAAAACATCTGCTTCTTGATTTATGCCATTTTAGAAATAACTATTACACAGTTTTATCATCTCAAATCTTTTTTTTTTCTTTTATTTTTAAGGTTGGAAGGAAATGCTGAAGCTAGTACTTTAAATTTGATGATATCTGAAATTATATCTCAGTTGCAGCAATATATGCCCCAGAATTGCTGTAGTTCAGATGATCCAATCAATAGTGTCCTAACAGAGAGGTGAGTTTGATGTCCTCATGGTTCCCGCTGTCAGTTTCTACATGCAACCCAACACAAGAACTCTCAAACCTAAATTACTCATTTCCCTGGTTTTAGAACAATACTTGAAATGTTACGTGCACTTTTCTAATGTTGCTGTTGATTTAATGTAAAAATCTTAAGAATGCTGAATATCATCTTCAAAATGAAGATTAGACATTGTGGATTTGGGACATCACTACAGTAGAGATTTTACTTGGAAATTAGGCATGAAAAAAATAATAATTTTTCTTTCAGACTGGGGAAACAAAGTGCTGTAAATATTAAATTGGTTTTGATCTGTTTTGTGCGCTAAAACTGCATCAGAAATTAGTTTTAAAGTGCTTGGCGTCGCAGCTGTGTGTGGCATTTAAAATAGTAATACTCCACTACATAATTGTGTTCTTACGTGCTTTAGTATCAAGATTCCAAAACAGAAGATGCCTTGTTATACTTGTTGTCAGACTTGGAGGTACGTTAGTTCAAATTATATCTGACTTGGAATATTGATCAGAACAATTTGACTTTTAATTGGCACTCTTAGAGCAGTCTTAAGAGCCCCATGACTGAATGAGTATGTTGGAACAAAACTCTCCTATCAAACCCATCAGGCGTGGGCGGGATAGCGCAAAGAGGGTTTTATCTGTTGCTTTACTTGTATAGCATGTGCTCCTTCTGTTTCCTACCCATCAATCTGCACTTTTCTCATTTATGAAGAAGAAGCCTAATTATTAAAGTGTTAAACCATTTTTAGAGTTTTCTGCCTTTATCATTTTGTCATTAATGTTTTGCTGAGATAATTTGAGCACGAGGGAGATTAAGAAACATTTATATAAGAACAGAGTGTTTAAAGTGATGTGTGACACATTAGGTTAGCTGATTAGAATATGATCCAAAGATATTGGGGTGCTTTAACAAAGCATAATCTGGTGTGCTGTTGATTAAAACAACGGCCTCACCACCTGCATTTTATGAAATGTTAAGTCTGCTTCTTGTTCTGCCCAGAAGAAAGACCACACACTAGTGGGAGTACTAATTAATACCATTTGTTTGAGTGAGTTCTGTTATGGTGGATGTTAATTCATTGTGAATTGAACTATGGTGGGAGGCTTCAACCACAACCCTGCTGTGATTTGATGTGTTTAGTGTATCGTTTCAGCCAGGCAGCTTTGTTTATTGTGGATGTATTTCTTTGATCTGAAATGGGAAACATATTCATCACCAGCAGTTTTGCATTTATATTCAGTAAAGTGGTAGAGAACACAATCGCTACCCCTACTACACAGATTCTTACTTTTTTCCAGTCACTAGAGTAATCCGTTTCCAGGTTTTCTGAGTTAAAACATTATGAATCAAACCACACCAAGTATGAAATGTATCGTATGTTAAATCCACCTAATAAAAGATTGACATTAACAATTCCTTCCTGTTTTGGAGGCTGTTAATTGAACTTTGTGATACGCCTATTTGCACACTTTATTCTCCGAGACCAGTTCTGGAAACATTGGTGGTACTCCGTAAAATAGGCACACAGTGCCATCAAGTGTCTGAACAAGTTGTTGCCAGCACCGAGTTGAGGTACCAGCAGTGGATGAAGAAGGCTCTACGTTCTCGCCAGAGACACAACTACCTGCGAATGTTAAACAGGTTGGCTGACGGTTTTTCCTTACTTTGTGGTTAGGTTTATAAGAGAGTGGCTGCGTGCTGCCGTTGCTCACTTTCAGTAGTTTGTCTTAGATGTTTAAAGTCAACAGCGCTCATGTGTTCTTGTCAACCATTTCAGAGTTAAGTGTCAACCCAGGTTTCTGTTATGTAGTAATGTTGAAATAACAAGAAAATCTCAGATTGAAGAATAATTTAATGGGTATTTTTAGCATTGCTGGATTACTTCACTGTAAATTATAAGCTTTCAAATAAAAGTATCATTTAAATGTTAGATTGCATTTTTTACTTGCTAGCTTTTCCTATTTGAACATATAAATGCCATTCAATTTTTATCTGAATGCAATAGGTTAAACTGATTTCAGGACTCTACCTACTTTAGTTCTGTTGCTTTTAATCATTATACCTGGGTCAGCATCTTTATAGATATAAAAGAGATTGCTTAGCGTTCCATTAATTTTGTCTATTCAGAAGCATTTCCCAGGGATTTACGAATCTGCTTTAAAAACTGGGAAAACTGTGAATATTATATTCGTGGCCAGGTTATGTCCCTAAAAGTGTTAACCATATTATTTAAGAAACATAGCTTAAACTGACAACTGACAATACGTATTTGCACTTCAGTCGAACTCCATTGTATTATCTATGGAGTAAAGGACAGGTGCTAGTTTCCAAGTTTCCTTTGGAATCTTAACTACATATGTTTGTATTTTTTTCCTCATTTTGAGGTTTCATAATTTATAGTCGTTGTTTATCGTTTTGATACTTGCTCTGCTCTTTGCTGAAGGAGTTTTCATAGCCTTTTTTTTTTTTTCTTCTCTCCACTATGTGATATCCAGCTACTTAAGCTCCAGAAGTCTGGATAATTTTATATATATTTATGAGTTGTATTTAATTTGGATTTAGTTTGTTTATTTAAAATATTTTTGCCTATTTCTAGCATTAAATTTTTGTCTCCGGTGTTGCGACTCATCTTAGTGTTGATTACTCTGGAACTAGTCAATGTTCATTTGGTTTGTAAGAAGAATCCTTTTGATTATCAGCAGTATCTAAAGTGAGTATATAAGATTTACTTTATGAAAATAGGAAGTTGTACACATTCCTATTTGATCTGTAGTATAAATCCTGTAGAGGGAAAAATAAAAAGGAAAAGCATGACTTTTAGTACAAGTCATCATTATATCTCGGACAACATTCACTCAAGAACTAAAATAACCTAGTTGAAAATACATGGTCCGGTTACTGACATTTTTAATTTTTGTTAGATTCTTCCTTAGTATAGATAGAGAACAATCACACACTGAAAAAATACTAATACATAGAAGCTGTATTTAGTACATTGGTAATTTTACTCCTTGTGTGTCAGTTAACAGCTGGTTGGATATCATAGGCATTGTGAAATGTTTGACTAGGAAAGGAAAGGAAGCTGTTTGAGGAAAATTCTATCACACATTTTATCACTGCAGTCTTTCTATGGCAGTCTTTAATTGCAGTTCTGAAAATCACTGCTTCTTATTGTAAGAATGAGAGAGTGATTCTCTTCCAGAAGTAGAAGAAACCTTAATGTATTGATCATCCTGAGGGAGATTTGGAAATTTAGAGACAGTAGCAGCTTTAAATCGGGCATTGAGATGATTTTTTTTTTATTTATGTTTTCTTTTTAAATCCCTTAATGAGTTTTTCTTCTTTGATTTTATTTCTCATAGGTTTTTGAAGTCAGTCTTGCAGTACACTGAGAACTTGGTGACATACACAAGCCCCGAGAAAAACAAGTGGGATGAAACTGTGGAGCTTACCAACAAGGCTTTGATAAAAATAAGGAAAATCAGTGACAGAAAGCTGATGTTAATGCAGCTAGCTACATAAATTAAATGGTTTTAAGATTATTTGGACATTCTTATGTATTAAGAGTTCTGGAGTCCTCAAATTTGACAAGTCTAATTCAAAGACAAACTTCATAAGTCATTGTCAAGTTTTGGATGCAAAATTTAGTCTTTTCATTAGAAGATGGCTGTTGAGACTGGAGTTGAATGATCAAGCTTCCGAAGAATGGACTGTTTGCCAAATCCAATGAAAAAAATTTACTGTGAGCTAAATCAGGATGATGCAAGTTCTACTTTAAGTATCTTACGTGTTTTGTAGCTTGATTTTTTTTTTTTTTTTTTTGTAGTTTTATACTGAAAATATGTAAGAAAAGTGTGTGAATAAAAGCTCTGGAAAATTTGAAATCCAAAAAGTAATTTTTTACTTTGAAATACAATGGAAATAATGCCTAACACTATGATCAACAGGTTAAGAAATGATAAACATTTCGCATAAAGTAGTGCTCATTGGAAGCTGTGGTTGTTGTTAGTTCAAAACCGAGTTAGATCTTGCACTGGGGTAGAGCTGGTAACATAGTAACCAGTTGTTTATATTTAAAGGAGGCAGAGTGGAATAACTTTTACAAAATATGTGTCTTTTGTTTATTTTCGTCTGCTCATTCCCAATACATATCTAGATAATTAGTGAGTTAATTTCATGCAGATTAAATATAACACTCACATGCACACACTCACAGACACGTTTATTGTGGTCCAAAAAGTTATCCTCTTGTTGCATACAACATTCATTTGAATATTTTTTCAAAATAAATTCTCCCTCCAAAGAGCTGAATTTCAAAGAAATGCATCAATTGAAGAACGGATTCACAGAAGACCGCCAATCTCTATCTGTTTGCTCTCTCCTGTGGAAGGGAAAACCAGAGGGTAATGTCTGGAGAATGTTCGGCTCTACAAAGGATTAGAGATTCAAGTTACATTTTAATAAGGTTCTTTGCAATGTTTCTTGACCAGAAATCACAATGAAAAAATCAATAGTTCAGTTTATTCAGTGTGGGGAATGGGTATAAGCTAAGATCATATTGCTTCCTTTATGCTACTCTTGCAATGTATTGTGTGTGTTTGAAATTTAACTATCTCACTTTCCAAGTTGTTTTTTTTTTTTGTCACTATGTAACTAAAAGATGTGAAGGAGTGTGAACTAGATAAAAAATACTGAAACTGTGAATAGACAATAGTGAATTAACTGCAGTGTATGAGCTACAGTCTGAAATTTCAGCTTTTTTTAACACCTAAGTTGGCAAATTCTTATTATATTTTTGAAGGCTTATTTTATACCCATTGACTTTGCTCAGACATGTTAACTTTTTCCAAGTGTAGTTTGGTAGTGACATTTTTGATGACATTTGCTTTGATGATGATAAGTATTGTAAAGGAGTGTGCAATAAGCATTGCAAAGCAAAAAAATTATTTCAGCTTTACATATTTATTGTAGGAAAGAACGAGAGGTTAAAACGCAGATTTAAAAGCAGATAAACAGTTGACACACCTTCTCCTTTTGAAAGTATGTTTGTGTACTGAGAAGCACCTTATAGACCATAGAGGTATATTTTCAACAACATACATTCTCCTTTTGTGCCTGTATTGAAACTTTGCTAAAATGATCTTGAACGCTATTCTCTTCCTATGCTTTTCCTTAAGATGGAGCAAATTGATGGTTTCTCCTTTACAAATTAGTGCCATAGATGTGATTTGCTGCCCTAAGTCTGCAGTAAGAAACATGATGGACTTCTGGCAGTTTTGTCAAAGATGCTTTTCCAGTTTGTTTTCTTACGTCTGAAGCTCTCTGAAGGGAATATCATCTACCTGGATATCATCTACCTGGACTTGTGCAAAG